CCCCCCGTTGCCGCCAGGCCCGCCCGGAGGGCCCATGTCGCCCTTCTCCCCTGGCACGCCTGGCAGGCCGTTGAGGCCAGGTTTTCCAACGCCGATGGGCCCTGGGGGCCCCGCGGGGCCGGGAGGACCCCCGTTCCCCCGGGGCCCCGGTATCCCTGGCTTCCCCACGCCATTTTCACCCTTCATCCCTCGCTCTCCGCGGGGACCCGGCTCTCCTTTTGGGCCAGGCTCGCCCCGAAACCCGGGCAGACCGGGGCCACCCTGGGGGCCCGGCTTCCCATTGACTGAGATGCCGGCTGGCCCCGGCAGCCCCGGGGGGCCAGGCAGTCCTCTTGGCCCTTGCTCTCCTCGTATGCCGGGCTCGCCCTTGGCTCCGGGCATCCCTTTCATACCCGCCTTTCCAGGGAGTCCTGGGATGCCGGGTTTCCCAATGCCTGAGAAGCCGGGGGGCCCAGCAGGTCCGGGCTGGCCGTGCATTCCCGGCTTCCCCGTGCCGGGCTTTCCTGGGTAGCCGGGGGGCCCGGGGGGCCCACGTGGGCCGGGCTTCCCTGGCGGTCCGCGCTCCCCTTTGAGGTCCATCGGCAGCAGCGGTGGCATGTCTGTGGAGAGAGGAGACACGGAGCTTTACTGGGGGTGGCGGCGGACGGAGGAGCGTGCCTGGTGCGTGACGCTCTCAGGGTGTTAAAGCCAGGGGCTTCAGCGCTGCCTGGGTCTGTACTTGCAAGAGTGCTCTTCTCTAGAAATGGTTTTATTTAAACATGGCCACAGCGGCTTCCTGGGCCACCACATCAGCAGGACTGTCTTGAGGCAAGACCTTGGCCAGAGCCCAGGGTACTAATTCAAGCCTTACTCCATCCATCCCTCCAGAGAGGGTGTCAACAAGACCAGCAATTGCCGTCGGCTCCAGCAGCATTGTTTTGTGATGACCTACTGTGGGGTTTTTTTAGGAGCTGGATTCAAACCTCCCGCTGCCTCACTTCCCAGTGGCCTTGAAAGCACCGTGGGATTCAGTCACTCCCACCTGGGCTCAGCCGAGAGGATGGCGACAGAGCGAGCCAAGACTGAGGATAATCCCCCCACCCCATCCCTCAAGTCCAGGGCCTTGGGAGACCTTTAATCCTTTTGGATTAAGAAGAAAACTCTTGGACATGTACTTGAGAGACCAAAGAGGTCATTCGTGTATGGGTTAAGACACGCCTGCGGTGCTCACTGGCTCAGCTCCCGTGTCCAGCAAGGCAGAGAAAAACTCACCAGAAAAGAAAAAAAGTGCTGAGGATGGAGGAAAGACCGATAGCTGCAAGGGAAACGCAACCTCAGTTACGTCCAAATAAGTCAGTCCAGCTGGGAATAGGCCGTAACCACTTGACATTTAAAGAATTTATAGAGGTCTTTTGCAAACGGATATAAGAAAGAAACTAATGGGCTGAGAGACTACAAAGCTGAGGAGAGCCAGATTACATGCCCACCGCAGCTCGGTACTTAAAGCGCAGAAGTGAGCGTAAATAACTCCTTGAGGCTGGCCCAGGCAGGGTGTTGCTTCCCACGTGACGCTGGAAACGGGTGAGAAAGAATAAACCTGAAAAACTCTTTTTTTTGGGAAGCTTGAAATGAAGGAAATACTTGGCAGTCGCACATACATGGGACTATGACGAGAAATGCGAAGGGCGGAGGAAAGGGCCTTGACACCTTGGGCAAATTTTAACCAAATCGGCCCAAAGTTGAACATTCCAGTCAGGAACAGATCTGTACGGGCAATTTCCTGGGATGAGAATGGATCCTGTCTGGGATGGGAGCAGAACTGGCCCGTGGCATGAGGCTGTGTGCCCCAGCATGGCACTGAGGAGGAGGCAGGGGGGGTCCCCGAGGTCTGCCAGCCTGGCCCCCAGCCTGGGCATTCAGCGAGCTGAGCCAGGCCTTGGGAGCACAGACACCCGTAGCGCCAGGATCCACCAACACAGAGATTTTCTCAGTCAACGGGAAAAGATTAGGGGAGATTTGAGACACGTGAAAAGAATAACTGCGGCAGCAGCAGGCACCGTTCCCGGTGCATCGGGGCAGCTTTACCTTTCCTAAGCACAGCAATTAGCTCTGGCCAGTTCCAAGCCTGGTGCCTGCTTGTTTTTCTTTTGGTAATGGAAACATTTTCAGAGCTTATCTACACATCAAAGCCTGGCCCACATCCTAGGCTGTAATAAGAGGTCACTTGGCTGTGGAAATTAAGGAAATACTTGCCGGTCATGACATTGCCACTGGATTTCTGCAAACCTGCTCCTCACCCCGGAAAATGGTGTGGGAAAGAAGACAAGGAAGATGTGAAGTGTTGCACTAAAGCAGATTTCTGGGGTTTGAATTCTGGAAAATTTTTTCTCCAGAAAATTATTTCAATGTGTTTTCTCCCCCCCTTTTTTTTTTTCTTCTTGCAATGGTTTGAAAAGAATTAGTTTTCTAGGTCATTTTGCATGGAATCAGAACAAGGATCTACAGCTGAGCCCACGAAGGAAGGAAAAAGCGCACACACGCTCTCACACAAGGCAGTGAAGAGAAACGCCAGGCGAGAGCTGCCAACTTGCAGGCGGCCAAAAAAGCAGACGGGAAAACCAAACCGGGGACGTTAGCAGAGAGAAACTGGGACATTGCAGCCCCAGTGGTATCCAATTTCAAAAGACCATGTCTTACCACAGACGCATGTCTCGGAGCTCTGCATTTCACAGCAGCAGCATGGGGTTATATGTTCCCCTCGAAGCATGAACAAAGCTGCCATGAATGCTAATGCAAAGAGCCAGCTGGGGCAGTGGGAAGGGGAAGGAGAAGGCATGGTCCCTGCAAGCTCTCGCCTGGGCACCTCAGAGCTTGTCACCTCCTGAGGGGCATGGACATGTCCGGGCGGATCCTGCAGCCCCTCTGGAGCAGCATTCGTCCTGGTAAGGACCCCTGCACGCCTGGAGGAAGGACCCAGCAGCGCGGACTGCCTGGCAGAGGAATAATCCAGCAAGATGGGAAGTGGTTCCCAGCCACGAGCAGTCGGCAGCGGGTCTGGCCAGCGCGGCCGGATGACACTGCAGGAAGGAGAGGTTGGCTGCTCCATGGCAGAGCCCGGCCGAGCTCGTTCCAGCACTGCTGCCAAGCCCTGTCTCGTGAGAGCAAGTTACACAGGCCCATAGGGACATAGCATGGGACGAGTGTTACTGCATCTCTCATCCCATCTTCCACTGCAGCGGGTGCCCCGAGCCGTGCGGGGAGGCTCAGCGCAGGACCCAGACGCAGCCCTCACAGATGGAGCTGCCGTGCAAGGGGATGGCGGTGGGATGAGAGCAGGCTGCAGAAAGAACAATGGAAGTGGCAGATGAAGTTTCCCCATTAGCAGGAGCTAAGGGACCTGGAGGCCTCTTGGCCCCATGCAGCAAGCAGCAGCCCCACAGGGATCACAGGACTGGGTGTCTTTAAAAGCAGCAGGACTTGTGGGCCACCTGCTCTGGGGACACTGGGCAGCAGCAGCAGCCCAGCCACTGCCCGGGACCTGCCTGCTCCCACCTCCTGCTCAGTGCAGCCCTGAAGGCAGAGGTTGGGCCTTGGCTCTCCACTGAGCTTGCCCAAGCCTGGGGAGGTAAAAAGCGCTCCTTTACCTTTGCAGCTGAGGCTGCTGCCCCGGGGTGAACCCTCTGTACTGTCGCTGGAGGGGAACTCCACCGCTTGCCTGGCCCAAACTGCTGTCCCAGGCATCACCTGTGCCTTATCGGTGCCCCGAGCTGGGGTGCCGCTGGCTTGGCTCCCCGAGCCTCGGCCAGCACCCAGCAGTGGTTCTACCTGGCTGCAAGCTGCACGGACATGGTTTTAACCAAGCCAAAATAAAACCCAACTGCGCAAATATCTGCTTAAATGCTTTTAGCATTTTAGCATTTAGACGCATCTCCTGCCCAGAGCTGCCTCCATGCTCCTGGGGAGTCTGTTTTTGGGTCAGAAAAGGTGTCTGGCACCCTGAGGAAACCAGCCCTGTCTCTCACTAGGTGGCACCCGCAGGCCGGCGAGAGCCCCCGCAGCCCCGGGGCCTGGCCTGGCCCCTCAGGTGGGGGTCCCAGCCCCAGGACCAGGCTGGGGCAGCACGGGGGGGGCCCCCGCACAGCTCTCCGCTGACTCAGGGGTAACCCGCAGGGGCACGGCACGGCCCTGCGCCGTCGCGGCGAGTCAGCTGAGCTCCCCGAGCAGGGCAGAAGGCCAGCAGGGATTTTCCTTGCCAAATTAGAGGTTAAGCAGAGATGGGAGCTTGGTGGGATCCAGGAGGCACTGGCTTCCCCAGCCGCATCTGTGCAGCCCTGCTGCCGGTGGCTTAGGCTGCAGCTGTGCCCCTGCCTGCATCCCCCTGCCCATCCTCTCTTTCCCAGGGGTTTTAGGAGAGTAATGTCCAGGGGACTCCCGTGCTTTGCCCTGCCTCAGTGTTTCCTCTAACCCATGCCTGGTCTAACCTGGCAAAGCTCGCACCCAAACCGCACCTTGCAAAGAGCCCGGCACACTCATTCCTCTCCGCCACAGTTAGCAGGCAGCGCTGCTCAGAGGCAGCACAAGCTGCTCCGATGCATAGGAAGAAGGGGAAAAAAGGAGGAAAAACAGCAGGGAGATATTTGAATCCAGTCCCACCAGCAGCTGAAACGTTCCTGCGCTACACTGGAAGGTTTTGTCTCTGGCTGGGATTCAGGGAGCAGCTTTACAACAGCTGGGAAGGGGGTAGGGAGGGAGGGGGGCTCGTAGCATGCTTCGGCTCCAGGTTTTGCTGTGTGTTTTCTGACATATGTGCTGAGCTGAACTCCTGATAAGCCATTCAGCCCAGCAGTAAATCAGCCACCGGCAGCCGAGCCTTCTCCAGTTTCTCCTCCCAGAGCCAAGACTTCGGCTCCCTGGAGGGTCCGTGTCTGTGCAAACCCACGGGGTGGGCTGCAGTGGCTCTTCCCTCGAGCCAAGAACCAACCCGGCGGGTCTGGGCACCCGAGCCCCAGCACTGCCCCATCCCGCAGCGCTGCCAGCAGTGCCCAGCTCTGGGAAGAGCATTGGGGATCGCTGTGTTTGTTATCAAGGAAAGGGCTCAGACCGTCCCCTCCATCCCCCTCTTGAGTTGAAGATATCGTGCTGCTGCTGCTGCTGCTACCCTGGGTGCAGTGATGGTCACGTGCACCTTCGGGAGGTGCTGGGGGCTCACTTGGCAGAGGGATGCCCTGATGAGCCAAGAAGTGCCGGAGAAACTCGGTCACATTCAACACTTGCTGTTTGCAAAGACCCCAAGTTCCCGAGCAGTTCCCCAGGGTGTGTGTAATTAACACACACTAATAACCCCCCGGTGTGGGGCACTGATGGACCCTCCTGTGCCTTCTAACCTCCAGCACCTGTGGCCAGGGCTGGGCATAAAAGGAGCCCTGGGCAGGCACTGGGGGACTACAGCAAGGGCAGGGGATGGCGTGCGGGCAGGGGGTTACGAAAGGCTGGGCTGGAAGCGGTGCGGGAGGCCTGGCTGCACGGAGCAATGACCTCGGCACCTCTGCTCCTCCACGCGGCACATGCCGCTTGGTGGGGAGTGATTTAACACGTGTGGAGTTTCTGGTCGCTGCTCT